AACCTAACTTAAACGTTTTATAGCTTGAAGCCAACCAGTGGTAGACGGGTCGGATCTTTGTGGATCCAGTATCCTGCCTTATAAGAAGAGTTAATACCCGGAACTTGTCCTGCCTCGAGCCACCGCCAGCCACTCGCTCCTCACACACCACAGGTTACAACTCAGATCTTATGTTTTCGTTACCTTTCATGCCCCCCCCCCAACCTTTATTCTATTTCAAGCGATTATTAACTTTTCCTCATTTTGTAAGGAAAAGTAGACTTACGATAAGCCCATTCATGTCAATGAACAAACATTTCAAAATGGTGGGATTTCTTCGCAGGGCCTACGAAAGAAAGACGATAATTCACATCTGCTTGGAACCCCGCGATTTTAAAGGTGGGTGGGTCTTGTAATAATCGAAGTTCGCCTCAGACCGCCCGCCTTCTGGAGAAAACTTTAAGCCTGTTTATATTAGAGGTCATAATCGGGACAAGACTGCAAGGAAGTCTCGATCGTCAATGGAATTTCGTCCATCATCTAGGACCTATGTGATTAATAGGGCTGTCCCTGATGATGGCAGTTGAGATAGTCGCCGAAATGTTGGAAAATGATTACGTAATCACACGGGTGATCGCCTGAGATGTCTGTTGCCGTGTTCTCCTTCGAGTCCCGAGTTTGTCGGCCACTGGTAAGAGGGAGAAGTCTATATATCCTTCTCGTGTGAATTTTTTTCGTTGTAAATATTAATTTAATTAAATAAAATACCGCCTGGTGTAGATTTTCGAGTACTGAAATTATGAAGTTCGTGTTCCACATAAGCGCCATTTGTGACTGATTTATCTGTTTAAAAATTATCGTCGTATTTGCATCCAGAAAGCCGTGTCCAGTTCATTATTTGGAACAAAGGTTAATATGATTTGTCCCCGTTTTAAGGTGCCAGTAATGTTGACGGCGCTGGACTCTTCCCGTCTCTGTCACTCGCTTTGGCTTATTGTCGCCAGGGAAACAAAGAACGTACATAGTCGTTTGATGTTGCGGGGAGAAGGGTGTTTTGGATTGACGATGGCGATACGAGACTGCCGCAGGGCGGGGCAAGTTTTTATAGATGTATATTATTCAACAGACCAAGGTCAGGTCTCTGGGATCGGGCGGTGAGTCGGCAACGAGAGTGGCTGGTGTGTGGCGGTCGAGTCACGCACTCCCACTCTGTTCTCGTTCTGTTTTGGTCTCCTTGTATTCTGTTTTGAAAGGCAAAAGCAACAAGTTGGCTAATCTCTTTCCCGGAGCCCCTCGGAAAAGTGTCCTTCCTCCAGATTCCTTCTCTCTGCGTCATTTGTGTACAAATCGTGAATGAAATTTGTGCTAATCTCGCTTGGGACTCTCCCGCGCGCGATCTCTCTGTCTCTTCATGCCTAGCTTATCCTCCTCTCCCCCCACGTCGTTCGTCGGGCGCCCATCGTTCATTTGCATAACCTCCTCTCCTCTCCTCTCCTCTCCTCTCCTCTGACGTTTCGCCATGTACTTGCTACGCGGCCATAGCTCCATCGTCCCCCGTCAGAAGCCGCGTAGGTTTGAATGAGATAGAAGCTTTTCTCCTTTCTCGTCTCTGCATGTAGCCTTCGTCTTTGGCCCCTTGAGGGGAGGGGGAGGGGAAATCAATATGGCCGGCATGTCCGTCTGTCCCCCCCCCCACACACCCTTCGGTAGCTTTCGAGTTACCGAAGAACGTGTGAGGGATGTAAACAATAAGTTACCCCTCACCCCAGACCGACATTGCTGTCTTTTTTGCAGAATCGTCTTCCCCCCCTCCCACTCCAAGGTCTGGTTTTCGGAAAAATGCTTCAAGAACTCGGGGGGGGGGGGGATACCAGCATCAAATGTGTCCTCACATGTGGACCGCGGAAGAAGTTAGGTTAGGAAATTTTGTAGGACGAGTTAACCCTTTGAAGCCGAAGATCGTCTGAATATTATTTATGAATCCAGACCGTACCGCGAAGAAAACACTTCACTTAACCATTAGAAGTCGAATCAGGCGGTACCACATAACATTTAATGGGACGCGGTATTCTTTGTCACACATCAACGGTGATAAACCCCGAGCTGATGAATGCGTAGCCCATTAAAGTGATAATTCAGTTACAAATGTACGTAGTTCGGATACCTACGTCTATACATTTACTCAAACCAGACGCCGGTGACAGTGACACATACCCTAATCTCTGAACACAATCCGCCATTGTTCTCGTATAAAAGTGATGTCACCAATATCTCAAATTAATTATTCTGCTGTACAACAATGGTACCAAATACCACTTGTGTCATTATTATGCCACTGTTGAAGCACCAGTCCTGTTCATTGGTGGATTTTATGATTATACGATCGTTATAAATCACATTGATTCCAGATTACTGTCAGAACAGTCAAAAGCGTGAACGCTTTCGAGGACGCTGACATTGTTTAGAGGACTGTGATTAATTATTTGGGGCATTGTTAAGCGGGACTCGAGACGTGTTTGTTGCGATGGAAGAGTGGGGTCCAGTTCATTGATGCTTCTTATCATGTTTTCATAGTGATTTAAACGATTACGTCACGTGACACGACGAGATAGTACTCGTAAAGATTATGGAAGCTGTGCTCTGCAGCCCGGTTTCTGCGAAGATAATTTATCTTTCCTCTTTCCTATGGCATTGCATTAAGTTTTTTTTAAACACGTTACTTTTGAAACAGTTGACAGATTTTGATTAAACAGGTTACACCAACTGATGTAATACTTTTGGAAACTACGCCACTTTCATACCAACCGAGCGAACTTCTGAGGAGGAAGGGACTCTCTTACCACGAATTTAGGATTCTACAGGTTTTTTTATAGGATTCAAATGTGTTACAAGTACGCAACTTTGTTGAGGTCAGTATTTTATAAAATAAAATAATGATGTGACGACAGTCCGAATTTTATATTTAACTTTTAATTTTAGGCGGAAAAAATAGTGAAATATTACAACCGTGCATGTAAGAAATTGGTATGGGGCTAGATTATTAACGCTCCCAAAAAATGTTTTATGATATACTTTGTACTAAAACTAACAGACGTTGCAGTGGAGATCAAAGTTTATGTAAAATAGACCCAGGATTACTAATCTTAGCCGAAGCAGTCTTCGAAGGACTGGACTTATATTTCAGGGTCCATTGATGGATTTATCTTAGCATGGTTGTGAATGTTGAGATTTCAGGTTGACGGCAGTGCGTATGGAGATGATTCTCAACTGGGATGTTGCTCCGTTTAGTTTAGAAATTAGCCGTTGATGGAGGCAGAACCTCTGAAACGTCGGTCACTTTCTACACGGGCCAAACTTTGGCAACGTCGTAACGTAACCTACCGTTTTTCAAGTCGAGAGATCGGTGTCATCAGGAATAACGCATTCCACATACGCCTGGAACTCCCATTTCATATTTTTTTTGTAGTTTAATCTTAATTTACTGCGAAGTCTTAAGTTGAAAACAACTTTCCATCTGCACACCCTTAATTAAGTCGTCACCTGAATTCGGTAGCTTCGTTTTTGTCGCTCGCTTAATTGCATTCGAAGCCAAGTAAATCCCCTTGGCATCAGTTTAAACGTGTGTTAAGGGGGTGGGTTGGGGGGGTGAAGAGAAGGGAAGGCGATTAATTTAGTACCAAAGTCAACAACAGGCAGAGTGGGAGACTAGAGACCATCATGGGGATTTCCTCTCTACGTGATCGAAGCGCTGAGTGCAGGGCAGTCCATGGCGAGGTGCCAGGCCGACTTACGCCGTCCAGGATGATGGTGGTATCTTTAACGCCAATGCCAGATTGCAGACGACATTTGGACCGCGTGCTGTCGCCCAGATAGTTTATTGCAGTTCATAATCACTCGGCAAGTAAAGGAACTGAGAACGATCACATACGTTTATGCGGGGACACATTAGAAGTTCCGATGGACCGAATAACGCGAGATTAATCCTGGGGACACATTCGAAGTTCAGATGGACCGAATAACGCGAGATTAATCCCTTTGCAGCAGTCACATCTAGGTCTGACAGAAATTGTTACAGACATCGGGAAGTAACACGTTTTTTTGGCTGCTCTCACCTGAAACATAACAGAGCAGTTCGTCTGGAATACCTGAAATATTATTTTTGCACGCTGATAAAATGTTTGTGTTATTAAGTTTCAGAATTTATTTTACAAATGTCTGTCTTTGAAGTTTCGATAGTGTCTCCTCTGTTCATGCGTACCAGACCATGTCGTATAAAGGATATGGAGGTGGATCTCCGTACATTCTATACCTCATATGAATGATCAGTTTCCGGTCAGAACAGAGTGACGGAAGTGACAAATCAGACGCCGACCGTCAATGCCTTCAGTGACTAAGTTGCATCTGACGAAAGATACGAAGTATGTAGTTAAGTTATTTAGTTAAGCGAGTTAGTGATCAGCTCCTGCATGATAACAGAGCCTCCAAACTTTCCACAAAATTTTTTTTCCTAACATACGTGAGCCTGAAACCAGGGCTGAACAAACCCACTCGTTCACGTGACGAGTGGAAAAGCCGACTCCTCTGTTAACATTCTTTGTTGTCGAACAACAAATGTTGTAATAGGCGTCGTGTGAGGGCCAACACTTTGTTGACCCTGACGTGTGAGAAAGATTAGAGAAAAATACATCGCGCCGGTCGCTTTGTACCATTTAGATTGTTTCAACACGTAGGTCTGTAAGATACCAAGAGCTGATGATAACAGTGGTTCACCTGTTTCTCCGCAATATGCTCGAGGGGACCTTTGTGTACTGAAAAGGGTTTTGGGGTTGTCCACGGCAATTTTGGGGCATTCACGAGGAGTTCTAAATGTTTTTGCCCCATAATTTATCACAGCCTCGTGATATTTTCTCTTAGGACAGTTGATACAGCGGATCAAAGAACACATTCGCACATTTTCTTTTACGGAAAATTCGTACGTAAATCTCTGTTTGCTAAGCGTGACCACACGTTTTTCAGTCTCTGCACTAAATCACTTTCACGCTTTGGCTGTATTACTTCTGAGGAAAGAGTCTCATACCAATTGGACGGGAGTGTGTGTTATTAAGGGCTGTAATTTTTGTCTTTTTCGAAACTAAAAAAGCCTGAATGGAGAATTAGAAGGATTAGAAGTTAAA